AAAAAAAAAAAAACACAAAAAACTATGCAGTTTTCAAATTTAGTTTCTGGATGTCTTGATTCTGTGGTTGGAGAGAGTTTCTTGAACTTCAGGTATGAATTTGCCTGTGTTCCCTGTGTCAACAGCATAGGAAGACCATTCTTTACATCAAACCGTCCAGTGACTCAGCCTGCTGAGACTGATTCCGTATGCACTAGTCTTAATGCAAAGAAGACTTTGACAGATAAAGAATCTGTCCTTGTCCTTGAAAGTAAGTCAGTGGTAAATAAATTGTAGAGATCAGAGAAATGTAACAACATTTTTTCCATGGTGATGAAAGTAGTAGGAGAAATATAAAATCTTAATCATTGATGGAAAAGATTAGCGACAAAGAGTTCTTTACAAGCATTCAGAACCTAGGTGTTTCTCATAGCTGTCCTCCAATAGAACTCATATATTTTACAATTGAAGTTGAAAGGATTCTAGAAATTATCTATTTTAATCTCTTTATTTTCACAGGGAAAAACATTTATAAGAATAAGTTTCTCAATATGCCTTATTTAGCAAAGCAATGAAGAGACAAAATCTGTATGACTTTTTTTCACTCGATCGTTACAAAACTGAAAGTTTCTTGTGGAATTTTTTGCTTTGTCTGATGGCTCTTGACATTTGCTTTTCTTTGTTGATGATTTAACTGTATAAACTGAATTTTATTTAGAAGGAAAAAGAAGCCTAAAGTTACCTTCCAAGAGAACTCAATCATGTATGTCCTAAGTAGGAGCCATATCTTCTACCTAATATTCTTTACATAAAATTTTCATTTTGTATTCCAACTTTTAGCAACATTTTAAATATTTTAAGTTACAAAAAAAATAAGCAGTGTGGCCAAGAAATATCAAGAATCCTTCCCTGTCATCCCAGGAGGAATAGTTTGGGTATTAAATTGTCCAAAACTTTCTTGCTGTAGAAACTTACAGAAGTGCTCCATGCTCAGGAAAGCTGTCGGCTTTTTTTTTTTTTTTTTTTTTTTTTTTTTTTTTTTTTTTTTTGTACCAGTGATCGAACTCAGGACCTTGTGCTTATGAGGCAGGCGGGGAAACCACTGAGCTAAATCCCTAGCCCTCCGGCTCTTTCATTTCTTCTTGCCTTGGATTTTGTAGTGGTGCATGAACTTCTTTTCAGTAGAGTCCTCAGAGCCCCAGCCTCTGAAAAGAAGTTGATTCTGTCACATTCCTGATCTATTTCCATTTTTACAGTACTGAAAACTCAGTGGGTAACTGTGGGAGCGGGCAGCCCAGGTGTAGCATTTCTCTACGTAAAGTGACTATGCCTCGAGGAAGCAAGAGGATCACCATACTTTGTCCAATATCTAAGAATCAGAGAGCATGCTCTATAAAAATTGATTCTTATAAGGTTAGCATCTTTTTTCATTCTGCATATTATAAAATGAAAAGACCCATACTTTTTTCTTTCTACAGACTTCCAACAGTATCTTAGCAGTTTTCTTTTCAGCCCCTGTTCTGAAATAGACACAAAATAGCTTCCATTTTCTATTCATTCTTATTTCAGATATAGGAAACTGCATGTATTTGTGCATTTTTAAATCTATCTTTTGGCATAGTTTTCATATTTTGCATCAGAGTTATTTATAATGACCTCTTATTATACTCCCTCTCATAAATTCAACTTCCCATGCCCAAACTCATCCAAAGCTTCTCTTCATTTTACAGCAACAGGTTGAAATCCAGAATGTCTTCATGTGAATTAGATGATAGTGAAAATCAGGATTCTCACATGTAGTTCCTTTGGGTTTCATGTAGTTTTAGGCATGTCTTTAAGGTGGATGATCTAGAATGTGCATTCTTACTATCTGTCAGGCTACCCACTTGATGGGTGATGTTAAAACTTGTATGTATTTGGAGTTTAGAGATTTGCTGCTCACATAAGACTGTTGATTCCTCGAGGATGAAGGTCTGTGGGAAGAGAAGGGTAGGCTTAATTTATAAGTAAAAACATGAGCCTGCAACATATAGCATATTGTATTTTTTAAAAGTGGTATTTTTGGAATGAATTTTCTAAAAGGGAAAAAAGGAATTACAACTTTGGTTAACTTTGTAATCTGAAGCTGTAGATCTTTTTGTTTTGTTTTGTTTTGTTTTTTTATAGCCCAGGCATTGTGGCATATACCTAATCTCAGGATTTGAGAAGCAAAAGCAGGACAATGACAAGTTTGAGTGTCACCAGGAGATATTAGTGAGACTCTATCTCAAAAATAGTAAATATAATGGTTTGGGGATGTAGGTCTGTGCAAAGACCTTGGATTCAATCCCCAGTACCAAAATAAATATACAATCTTAAAAATTGTGACTTTCTTTTTTGTTGTTTGTTTCTTTGTTTGTGTGTTTGTTTGTTTGTTTGTTTTGGTACCTGGAATCAAACTCAGGACCTTGCACTTGTGAGGCAGGCATGGTGCCACTGAGCTAAATCCCTCACCCAAAATTATGATTTTCTTTGCCTCCTTTGTATCTGCCTTTGTTTCTTCTATCTTTACACAGTTATTTTGATTGGGAAGAGATATATGTAGGGTTTTTTTGTGTGTATGTGAGCTTTCAGTGTTTTATATGCTGATCTATGTAGTCATTTGTTTTTACTATAAATACCACAAACTTAATGGCTTATAAACATAAGAGTAAACTGTTTTGTATTCCTGAAGCAGTCCAAAGTATATTTAATGGGGTTAAAATCTGAACTGTATTCATCTCTGAATGATCTGGCAAAAAATCTATTTCTTGCCTTTTTGACCTTTTAGAGATTGCCCACACTGCTAGGCTTATAGAGGCATCATTTTATTAACGTATCACCTTTCCTGATTCTGACCACCTTGCCTTTTTTTATAAAAAGGCTTGTGACGACATTGTGTCCACAAGAGTAATTCAAGATAACCTCTCTCTTTCAAGATCATGTTATGGATTGTACCTAGGTGCCCCCTCAAAGCTCTCAAAGGAGCAAATTCCTAACACTGCCTTTTTTTTTTTTTGTACCGGAGATTGAACTCATCAGCACCATTGAGCTAAATCCCCATCTCTGACACTCCATTCATAAAGGAGAAAAGGTTTATTTTAGCTCATAGTTTAATTCATAGTTGCTGGTGTTGTCATCAGAAATGTGAAGGACAGCCAGACAGCAGGAATATAGTTTTGTCAAGGAGTGGAGGGCTGAAGCTCTCACAGGCAAACAGCAGCCAACACTCACCAACCTTGGTTTTTATTAGGTACATGCATAATACCTCCATGAGAATAAACAGTTCCCTACAGATGATCTCTAGCAAAGCATTAGAAAATATTTTTATGAATGTCTGGTTCTAGTTATTAATATACTTTCTCAAAAGCAGACTGTTCCCAGAATGTTATTGCATGGTTCTCAAGATTGTTTGCAGCCTCGAACTTCTGAGTTGTGACTCCATGTGCAGCACCACAACTGCAGTTCTTCCAATCTGTGTCCCAGTGTAACCTTCTCCTCTGCAGGCTGGCTCCATGGTAGAACTGGTATTTTGGAAGACATAGTAGAAGAAATGTGCTCAGCATATGACAGCCATGAAGCAGAGTGAAAATGCAAAACACAAGAATATACCATTCCAGGTCATGCCACCAATAACATGCCTTTTCTACAAGGTCCCGCCTGTGAGCATAGCAGACTTTGGGGGACATTTTATATCTAAGTCCTAAATTTCCATTCCTGACCTCCAAAGACTCACATCCATCTCATTATACAAAATGCATTTAGTTCATCTCTGAAGGTTGCAAAATTCTTAACATTTCCAGCATCCTGAAAAATCCACATTCAAAATCTCCTCTGAGATTCAAGGCAAGCTCTTAACTGTGATCCCCTGGGAAAATCACAATAAAGTTACACACTTCTAAAATACAGTGACAAAGAGTAAGTATTCCCACTCCAAAAGGGAAAAATAAGGGAATAAAAAGGATGAGACAAAGACTTCCATGATCATTTGTGCATACTCAGACTTCTGGAATCCAATCTATCTCCAATTCTAGAGCAAAAAGACATAGGTAAGCAGGAAGAGAAGAGGTGAGAGGTGAAAGAAGACCTTGTTTATGAATGTGAAAGGTAGCATGGAAAAAAGATATGAAGTTTGGATAGGATAAGAGGGAAAGTTCATAAACCTAGAACCAGGAACCTAGCCTTTAGGAGAGGCAGGGAGTTCTAGACATCTGAATCAAGCATACTAGGGTAAGTGCCTTCCAATTCTTAGGTATCTAAATAGCTACAGTACCCTGCTAATGGGGCTTCATGCAAAAAGCAGAGGTAAAATATCAAATTAAGATGGGAAGATCAGCTTATATCTGAAATACACAAAACCAATAATTTTGGCTATTTGAAATTTTTTTCATTAGAATGATGAAGCAATGTTTCCTTCAAATTAAAAACTTTTCTTGAAAAAGGTCTTGACATTTAGAAAAATGCAGAGAAGTAGAAAATACTTGAGATGTCCTGATATAGTCAGGAAATCATTAACTTAGAAATTGGTTGTATGAGACATACACATGAATAATTTAAAATTCTGTTTCTTAGGTTCACAACTTTATATAAGCAAGTGCAAAGACTTTGATTGAGATACCCTGCAGATGACATGCATCTGTGAGACTGAGCCTCAGTGAGTGGATCCCTGGAGAGGTTTTTGTTCAGAGCCAGAGCACTGTGGGAGGAAGCTCTTTACCCTGTTGACAGAAATAATGCGCAGCATCCTGGGCCTCCACAGGGTGAATGGTGAGGGTGAAGTCTGTCCCAGACCCACTGCCGCTGAAGCGGTCTGGCACACCAGAGGCCCGGTTGGATGCATCATAGATCAGGAGTTTGGGAGGCTGTCCTGGTTTCTGTTGATACCAGTGCATATTTTTGAAAATGCCAAATAGTTCATCAACACTCTGGCTGGCCCTGCAGGAGATGGTGGCCTTCTCACCAGAAGACAGGGTCAAAGAGGCTGGAGACTGAGTCAGCACAATATCCCCAGTGGAGCCTGGAATTACAAACACACACAATCAAATTTCACTGATACACCAAGACCATCCCAATCCAACCCATTGCATGACTGGTGCCTATTAACTCAGTTGCAGACATGTTTCTGAGTAACCAGAAAACAAATATTGACTATGGAATTGGTCTTCTACAAGAGCCTTAATCCCAGTGCCCCAGATCCCAGATACAGGGAGAGCAGTGATATTCACAATAAGGTGGCCAGTGCTTCTCTGTACCTCTCACCTGGAACCCAAATCAGCAGCAACCACAGCAAAGGAGCTCCTGACCCCATCTCTGAGAGCTGATCTAAAGACTGCTTCTCACAGGCCCTTGCTCACTGCCTTTAAAAAATGCTTGAGCAGACTGTACTATAGTCCAATAGTCAACATGCAAATCAGCTCTGATAATTTCAGTTTGGTGCTTCATACTGACATCTGCTCTCCTTTAACCTAGTGGGAATTGAGGTTAGCGTAAAATTTCTAAGTATAGCTCAAATATTTCTCACTTCTTAATCTTTCTAAAGTGCTATATGGGAAGTGTACAATGGCTGCCCAACTTCAAATGACAGAAGCTATTTCAGGACAATATTAGTCTCTTTGCAGACCAAAGAAAGGCAGGGTAACTACCAGAGGTGAAGAAAGCTCTATGGGGTACCCCATGCAGGGTGGATCTCAGGGCTGTGCTTTGGCCTTTATTGGCTTCAGAGGTGTTTTTGGAGCTCACTGGATGGCAGGAGTTTGGTGTTGTCCTAAACTCCCATGAGGGAGACACCAGGAGGAGCCAAATCTGCTGGAACCTTGATTGTGGTCTTCCAGTCTCCAGAACTGTGAGAAATACATACTAGCTGCTGGAGGATTGCTTGAATCTATGAGTTGAAGTCTATCCTGGCAAGACAGCAAGAGCTTGTCTCCAAGAAAATAAAACAAAAAGCCAGGCATGACTGCACTGCCTCCCAGCGCTCTGGGAGGATGAGGCAGGAGGATTGTAAGTGTGAGCCCAACTTGGATAACTTAGTGAGATTCTAAGTTTGTCTCAAAACAATAAATAAAATAAAAGGACTAGGTATGTGGCTCAGTGTGGAGGTCCTGTGCTCCATCACCAGTACCAGGAAAGAAGGTATTATTTAAGACACTCAGTTTTCAGTATTTTACTTTAGCCCTAGAAAACAACAATAAGGCACTCACTGGTCCTTAAAAAATCTTTAAGGGGAATTTTAGATCACAGATGCAGAATACTCACTGCTGTCAAGAAATCACAAGGAAGACAAGAGCAGAAAAATCACATTCACAATGTGTTCCAGAGCGGCCCTGCATGATCACAGCAGCCCCACACAGCAAAGGCAGTGCTCATTGGTCTGCTTTGAATTTTTTGTCACACTTGTCAGTTTTCAGGAGACAGTTTACTATCTTCCACATTTTTTGTTTTTGTTTTGGAGACAGAGCCTCACTACGTAGCTCAGGCTGACCTAAAACTCTAGATGATCCTCCTGCCTCAGCCTCCTGAGTGCTGGGATGACAGGTGAATGCCACCACACCCTGTGCATATTTTTCTTCACCTGCATTTCCCACTGAAAAAGCAGCAGGGACCATAGCCTCCCCTGAGCCTTCTCAGCTCTAATCTTCAGTAACCATTTTTATTTATTTATTTTATCTTTATTAAGTTTATTGGTACATTTTAGATATACAGTACAGTTACATTCATCATTGGGAACTTATACTTTTACAGACTTATTGTGGTTCTCATTTTTCCCCATTCCCCAGTCCTCCCCTCACCCGCTCCACCCTTCCCAATGGAGACATTGTTTCCATGTTTTTCCTTTTAACATGTATTTTTTCCCATTTTACCTTTCCCCTACCTCTCCCACTTCCTCTACTCCTTTAGACCTTTTCTTTCTATTATACAATATCAATTCCTTATTTACACTTTTAGTTTTTTACTCCAGAGAAACTATTTGGTATTTATATATGTGTGATTTATTAATTTCACTTGAGTATGGCCTCAGTGTGCACCCACTTAGCTATAAATATCTCTAGTTCTTCATTCTTTATGGCTGTCACCAATTCATGGGCAATTGGGTTGCTTCCAAGTTTTAGGTGTTACAAACTGTGCCACTATAAACATGGGTGAGCATATATCACTGTGGCATGATTCTTTCAATTCTTTTGGAAAGATATCCAGCAGTGGAATGGCTGGGTCAAATGGGACTTCTAATCTTAGTTCTTTGAGTTATCTCCATATTGATTTCCACAGTGGTCGCAACAGTGTTCACTCCGACCAACAATTAATAAGCGTTCTTATCTCCCCACAGCCCTGCATATGTTATTGGTTGATTTCTTGATAGCATCCATTCATTTGGGGGTGAGGTGGAATCTCAGAGTTGTGTTCATCTGCATCTCTTGAATGACCAGTGATGTTGAACATTTTTTCACATGTTTCTTTGCTGCTTTTCCTTCTTTGTCTGAGAAATGTCTGTTCATTTCAGATGCCCATTTTTGAATTGGATCTTTATATTTGGAGCGACTGATTTCTTTTGTATGTGTTCTTTATATATTCTAGATAGTAGACCTTTGTCTGAAGAACAGCTGGTAAAAATATTTTTCCCACGTTATGGCCTGTCTCTTAGCTCTGTTGGTGATTTCTTTGGCAGTGCAGAAACTTTTTAAAAAGATGAGATCCCAATTGTTTATTATTTGTGATAGTTCCCATGCTACTGAGGATTTGTTCATAAAGTGTTTTCCTATGCCAATGTCTTCAAGAGTTCTTCCTAACTTATCTACCAGCAAGTTTTGTGACTTCTAAAAAATATTTAGATCTTTAATCCACTTGGATTTTAATTTAGTGCATGGTGAAAGATAAGGGTCTAGTTTTAATCTTTGACAGGTTGAGATCCAGTTTTTCCAACACCATTTATTAAAGAGGCTGTCTTTCCTCCATTGAGGATGGTTGGCTCCTTCATCAAAGATGAGGTAGCTGAGTACATCTGGAGTTATTTCTGTGTCTTCCAATCTGTTCTACTGTTCTTCAGGTCTGTTTCTTTGCTGGTACTATGCTGTTTTTATCACAGTGTCTTTGTAGTCTAGTTTCAAACTGGGAAATATTATACCCACTGCCATGTGTCTGTTGCCTAGGATGGCTTTTGCTATTCTAGGTCTCTTCTGGTTCTAAATAAATTTTTGAATTGTTTTCTCTAGTTCTGTGAAATACACTTTTGAGGCTTTAATATGGATTGCAATGAGTCTGTATAGAAGTTTTGGAAATATGGCCATTTTCACTATATTGATTCTTCCTACCCAGGAAGAAGGGATGTCTTTCCATTTTCTTATATCCTCTTCAATCTCTTTTGGGTGTTGTAGTTCTCAGTTTAGAGTTTTTTTATTTCCTTTGTTAGATTGATTCCTAGATATTTCATTTCTTTGGATGCTGTTATGTAAAGGATTGCTTCCCTAATACCATTCTCAATGAGTCTGTTATTTGTGTACAAGAAGGCTCTTGATTTTTGAATGTTTACCTTGTATCCAGCTGCTCTACAGAATCTGTCAATTAAGTCTAGAAGTCTTTTGGTGGAGTTTTTTGGTCTTCTATGTAGAGTATCATATCATCAGTAAATAATGACAGTTTATCTTCTTCCTTTCCTATTTTTATTGCTTTCATTTCTTTCTCTTGTCTAATTTCTGTGGCTAATGTTTCCAAAACTATATTAAACAGGAGTGTTGATAGTGGACATCCTTGTCTTATTCCTGATTTTAGCATGAAGGTTTTTAGTTTTCTTTCTACAACATAAATCTGAATTTAAAAAAATTATGTACAGCAGTTGAAAACACAAATCTGACAAATACATTGACACATTAGGGGAAGCAAACAAGAGTGATAAATTTGACTGGTATGGAGGGTTTAAGTGGTATAACAATCTGATTTCCTTAATATTTAAATCATTGTTACATTTTTTTTCTAGAAGTGAATGGGGACAAGGATGTTAAATCATCCCTTGCTGAGAAAATAAATGCATTTGTGAGTGTGGAGGGCTGTTCCAAAAAAGAAGGAGTTAACTTTGATAATAAGAGAACATTTGGTTCAAGGCCTAGCAGCTGTACCTTGTGTGAAAAAGAAATACTTCTTTATCTTTCTGGAATGCTTTGAAACCCAGCATAGCTTCTATGGGAACCTTGCTTTTTTCCTACTCACTTATGTGGCTTGGTAAATAACTTCTATTCCTGAAAGATGATGGTTTCGTAATTGTAAGATATAAAAGTATGTAGAGCCTGGAATAAACCAGACTTCTTTTCTCCACACTTCTGAGTGTGCTGTCCTTTCTTTAATCCTCACTCTCTCCTTCAGGTACTGTTCGATTAGTGGGAGCAGGTCTCCCATAAGGGGCGCCCGAACAGGGACCTGAATATGAGAGGTACAGTGAAGGACACCGCTGGATAGAGAAGACACAGGAGACCTCACCAAAAAGAAAAAAAGAGGACCTTCAGAAGGAAGGCAAAAGAGGAGTGGTGAGTTTTCTTGTAAATATTAAAAATGGGAGTGGGAAATTGCTGCATGCTATTTATTCATATGTTAAAAGACCTCTTAAAGGCAAGGGGCATAAAAGTTGAACAGAAGCAACTTGTAAAATTTTTTCAGCAAGTAAAGGATATTTGCCCATGGTTCCCTGAAGAAGAATCCATAACTATGGAAATATGGGATAGAATAGGTCATTGTTTAAAAGAATATTTTTTTAAAATAGGGGAAAAGATGGTTCCCGCTGAGATATCCAGTTTCTGGTCACTTATTAAAGAAAGATTAAATCCAAAATCTATGCTTACAGAAGAGGAAGATAAAGGAGGAGGGTTTAATTCCCCCTGATATTAAGGAATTAAGAGAACAATTTAAAAACAAACTTTAGAGAAAATGATTCAAGAATATCCTAGACATTTTTAGAATCCATTTGTTGCTATGACTGAAAAATCTGTAGAGCATGGTAAAAATAAAATTCAAGCTAAGCTTCTTCCAGCAAAGGTAGAATTTGCTGCTTTGCCTGGGATGGAGCAGTCTGGCCTTCAGGGACTTTTTCAGCCAAAATCTTGTAATGGTTGGCGTACCCTTTGTGTAAATTCCCAGCCTTTTCTTTCTCCATTACAGCAGAGCCTTAAACAAGATTCTATCAATGGGGAGGATTTATCCGATTTTCCTCATTTGTTTCCTGTTTTTGAGGGAATGGATGGGCAAGGAAATATAGTATGAACTCAGAATCCAGTTCCTTTTAAGCAGTTAAGAGAATTAAAAATGGCATGTGCTCAGTATGGTCCTATTGCTCCTTTCACTCAAGCCTTGTTAGAATCTTTA